TATTCAACTTTCAGATGATGTATAGATCTCAATTTCGAAAAATTTACCCTTATGACTGGTTTGTGATCCAGGGTCACATTTTGTCTGATTGACTCGTTTTAAAGCTACCTACAAAAACAATTGGCCATAAGAGTCAGAAAGGTTAATTTGTTACTTAAGAGATAAGTCCCTGATAGCAAAGTACATCACGGAAATGTCTATTTGATGTCTGCATTTACATCTGCCTTTTTTCAAGTGTTTGCTCATCTGCAATATGTCTATAGGACGTTTCCTATCAGATGTCAAATAGACGTTTAGAAGATGTCTTTAAGATGTTCATGATTTAGAAAGTATGTAAAACTGACATCTGAAAGATGCCTATCAGATTTTTACACAGCAGATGCTTTCCAGATGAAGCGATCTTTATCAGACATCTTGCAGACATCAGTCTTTTATTTTTTGATTTGATTTGTCACAAAAGCGTCAAAATACATTTTGACTGACATAATTTTAGTACTTTAAGTTAAGGAATATTCCACATTCCACCACATGAGGGCTTTTCACACTGCATTTAACCACGGGTTATGTCCACGGGTTATGTCCTTCTAAACTCTGCTTTTAACTCCAGATGCGTTTCACACTTATGATTTAGTAGCAGGATTTGGTGTTAGAGTGTTATGGTTAGATGCTTAGCAACAGACAACCAATCAAAAGCCTTCGCAGTTCATTCAGGAGAAACATAATAGTCTTCAATATATAATATTAGGATGTGCAAGAGCTGTTATGTAAACAGGTCAAGTACTGCATTTGTCCAATCAATGACACTGATACTACAAATATGTGAAATAGCAATGTCAGCACAATGTTTAAGAATGTACAGTGTTTAACATCATCTTATGAATACACAGGATTAATCGTTAACCCCAGGTAAATTATGAGCAGTGTGAAACGTAAAGCAAGATTCCCAGGATTCCGTTTAACTGGAGTTTCGAATAACCCAGGGTTAACTATTTCAACTGTAAAAATCCCATGGGAAAAAAAGGGAGTTGTGTTAGGGTGATGATACACGGGGCAACTTTTTTTGAGCAATGTTGACTGGACACTTTCCCATTGAGGATGGGTAACAACTTTCTATCTGGATACTTTAGATCGGTTGTGGACCCTGTGTCTCACCTGGTTGCCCATTGACAGCAACATTGCTCAAAAAGTTGCCCTGTGTATCATCAGCCTTAGATCTTTTCTTTGGTAGAGAATTGGTGACAGTGGTGTAGTTTGTTTATAGCCTACGTTTAGCTTTTAACTTCTGGCGATTGTATGCAGGCTTCACAATTCATAAAAGTTGTGTTCATTTGTGAAGATTATCATGATAAATAAAACATGTAAGAACTTTTGTTGGTCTCAAACCTTATTTTCTACAAAAATCCAAAAGTCAATGGAAAAACAAATCTTTTTTTGAGGAAAGCAGGGTGATGCTAACTTACGGGTTGGCCTACGCAAATATGTATTCACTGCAGCAAAAATTTTACCAAAAAAAAAAAATTATGTCATTTAGGATTTTCATGCTATTGCACATGTACTCCCTCTGAAAATTGAAGAGGCTGTAGTCTTGCTTTTTAAACATTTAACCCAACCATCCAGCTGCATGATTAGTGCTTGAGGGAAGCGGTAAAAGTTGGGTGATTTGTGGAGTGCTGTAAATCAGGCATTTCTGCCCAAAAACTGACAACTTGACAACCCATATAATCGTTACTTTGGTTTCGCTAAGCTAAAAGTTAAGCTAAAAAGCCTTTGGCTTGTCCCAATTCAAATAACTACAAACCTATCGAGTCTTAGAGTTGGAGTAGATTATGCTAACCTGATTATAACCAGTCCCCCTTTCTGACACTGTCCATATCATAACATGTACAAATCTGTGAGAAATCAAGCCATTTCCTTTGTCTCTGGCACTTTGGTTTGTTTACAGCAAAGGGAGACTCATTTGTAATGATCTGGCTGGGACAGGTTATGAGAAAGTGCAGCTTATGATGTTTTGAGGGTTGAAAGTGAAGAAAAACTAGGGGCCCTATATGCATTAGAGAAATAATGTTCACCCTGGGGGTTTAAAACCTCCATGTAGGCTACGGAAAGGGGGAGGTAGGAGATGAAGAAAGAGTGGAGGAGAGAAGGGGACTTGTAGGAGTAACAATTCCCAGGAGGAACCCTGAAGAACCTCCTGATTGGGTCCAATGGAGCTTCCATTGTTTGCCTGCCTTTGACATCTGAATTTCATTATGTCCAGGGGCTGAGGTTTGTCCAAGGAATCAAACTAAGAACATATGTAGAAGAGAGGGAGAAATTCCCCTTCTCTTTAAAAGCAACGAAAGCATTTATTTTCCTTTGTGGTGTTTCCTGATCTCATATCAAAAGCTGTATTGTTTCTTTGCTCACAGGGGTCCCCAACGTTTTGGCAGCTTGTAATTCGGTTGCACCCCAAGAAACCAGTGATGCCTCTTAAAGCAAACAGTGCGTTCACCAAGTGTCCATACGTGCTGATTGTTTCAGGGCCTGCGATTCTGAACATAACAGATCGTTTTTATTTCACATACTGGTTGAGAATCAGATAAAAGTATGAAGGGGCATCATACTAATTCCAGAATTATGGTGAAGAGGTTCAATATGATTGATAAGATGTTTTCAGTAGTCACAGTGGACTCTGGTCGGGTTCTATGAGACTGTGAGCAGAGAAATCATCTGTTCCGGAAGTGATACCATTAAGATTCCAGCGATAAGATTGATTTTTAAAGGCTGTAAGCTGGAGTTTGTGATGTTTGTGAGATCTGTCCTGAACATGAGCTGCACACCAGCTATTAAACTGTAACAGTCCATATTGAAAATAGAAATCTTTTTGAATTATAAGACCAAATTCTGCTATCAAATTACATTTAAGGTGCTAAATTAACACTTGCATTTTTTATGGGTCACTAATATCATTTGTAATCTCGGAACATCACCAGTATATCAAATTATAAGATATTTGAAAGATTGTCAGTATCCAAACTGTTTTGTTTACCATTGACTTCCATTCTGTTCCATCCTATTCTCAAAACAGATCTCTCACAAAATATATTTTGAGGTCCTACAGGTTTGGAACAACATGAGGGTGAGTAAATGATTACAAAATTGTCATTGTTTGGGTGAACTATAACTTCATTACTTAATGTTTTAGTGGGCAAGATGTAAAATTCTAAATGGGTTGCTCTGGACAATAAAAAAATAACATTGAGGCATTGTGCTAACATCACTCTCACTCTTGACGTATGTTGACATAAAAAGGAATTCCCATTAATTTTCTTTTTCAGAGCTTTAGGGTTTGTTTGAGTTGTGGAAATTGTTTCTTTACGATGTCAACCATCAGATAAGAGACATTCAAACTTTTTGGCATAGGTCCAAGTGATCTTTGAAACTTACCTTTCTGCTTTGATGATAGTTTTATCTTTTCTCCTTTGTATCATTTTTTTTCTTGGACCTTAGAGACATCAACAAACAGAAATTGGTCAAATGCTTTATAGTGAGTGAACAGAAACCACTAGGCATACGCCAATGTAAACAATAGAAATGTAGTTTATCTGCTTTGAGGAAGGTTGATTAATGATTGTTCTACATGTTTTATTCTGGACACACACACATTATTATAGTTTTGTCATTAATTCTGTGGAAATTGAACAGAAAAAAAATGTGAGAGAAGTTCAGTTCGTAAAACACATAAAAAATGATAAAGTTGATTTTATTAGGTTTCATTTCAATCAGTAGGCAAAAAACATTTTGTCAAGAGGACAACCAATTTAGAAATATAATTTGAGAATCTACAAAATAAGTTTAAGTGAAATATAAAAAAAATTAAAAAAAAATAACAGTCACACAGCCAAAATCCAGAGCAATATGATCATTTTTTCCAAAAAAGGAGGGGAAAAAAAGAATAGAGCGACAAAATAAATCAAAATAATATTTACACTAAAATGTCATAGTATTTACATTAAGGCATTTCAATTACACAAAACTTGTCAAATTCCACTTCACAAAGCCAATGCAATAAATACATAGATTTTACAAGAAAGAACCAGTTGATGCTATATCCCTCTCTTAAAGGCAGCCGAATTAATAGTGAAAAAATGGTAACCTGCTGATTTTTTTTGTCTATCCTTTTATGAACAATAAGTTTAAGCATGTGCTGCTGATAAAAAAAACAAATATGAAAAGGCACTTTAAGATGAAATGTGTTAAAAAGAACAGTCACTGTGGTCTTGTACATTCATATGAGCTTATGCATCAATGACAGCAGGAAAACAAATGTTAGGCATGCTTCTGTGTGTATAAAGGGGACTGTACAAATCACACAGCTGTCTAAAGCCCTTTTCCAACTTCTCATTGCTTTTCTATACCATTGTTTAATAATTCATGAAATAATTGCTGTTCAGTAGCAGCACATTATCATCCAAAGCTATAAATACTTCAGCAACTAAAAAGAGGGAATCGCAGTATAGGTTATACCTGAAACCCCAGTATGAGCAGTAACTATTCCAGTGATATAATATATTAAAAGCATTAATCATACATAGATATTCACCTTTTCCAGTCTAATTCAAGTGCAAAGTAAAAATGAGAGTTGTGTCTTAGTGCTTTGCAGATGTACAAGAATGAATCCTGTGTATTTTACAGTTCATTTCATTACGTTTAAAAACATTTCTTCTTCCAATTAGAGGATGAGAGCCGAGTCTCATGTACAACACAGCTTATTTGTATTAAAGAGAATGTCAAAATGAGATGAGGGTCCTAACGGAGATTTGATCTATACATCCTAGAGAGGAAAAAGGTAACGAACAACAACAAATTGGATTTCGTGGTAAAGTTTACAGTCAACAGCTCAACGCTCTCGACAGGTCAGAGAAAGATGATTACCCTAAACATTATAAGGTTCGTCGTGGCGTAGAGAAAGAAACAAGTCGTTCTGTTATCACTTCAAGTGCATAATAATAATAATAATAAGTATGTGTGTCTTTGTGTCTAATTCTGGTGCCTCTTCATATGCAGGGCGAGATGATCGGAGCGAGAGAAGCTGCGGCTGCACACGGCGCACTGGAAGGGTTTGGCTCCTGTGTGCTTCCTGAAGTGACGCGTCAGCTCATCGGAACGAGCAAACCGCCAGTCGCAGCCCTCCCACGTGCACCTATACGGCTTCTCACCTGAACACAGACACAATGGACACCCCGTTTGGTTAGGTACACGAAGTCACGAATACAACACGGAAGAAACTATTATTCACGGATAAAAAAAAACTGGTTTCTGTTCACTAATACATTAGCATTACTAAATGAGTAATCTGTGTGGGCAGCCCAGTCAACACGTGAGATCATGCGATGATCACAGTGACATCACACGATCCTCATACTGTGATCCTCACGGTGTGAGTAATAGGTGAGCTCATTGTGAGTTCAATCGATCCTCATACTGTGATCCTCATGGTGTGAGTAGTATATGAGCTCATTATGAACTCAAACGATCCTCATACTGTGATCCTCACAGTGTGAGTAATAGGTGAGCTCATTGTGAGTTCAATCGATCCTCATACTGTGATCCTCATGGTGTGAGTAGTATATGAGCTCATTGTGAGTTCACACGATCCTCATACTGTGATCCTCACGGTGTGAGTAGGCTCATGGTGACATCATTGTGAGATCAAATTGTTGACTGGGAGGGTTTCTCTGTCATCGCTATAGTAACCATAACAAACATACTGAGAGGTGTGGAGCACATAAACTTCGCTTAACTCAATCTCTAAGATTAAAGTATTTCAGTATTTTGGTATGTCCGTGGAGACTGACAAGACTCAACTTATTGTCGGCCATAAATAGCAGCACAGTGTTTGCCTTTCTAGAACTAGGGTTTAGAGCGTGTTTTTTAAAAGACGATAAAGTTATTTTTTTCCTCCCAAAATCAAGTTGGTTTGATAATCCCTTTGGAAAATCCTGCCAGCTCAACACATGTATTAAAATCACAATGTACCCTGTGGGTAAAAACGCAAAACTTGGGAGTTTGGAAAGTTGATGACAAATATTAAAAAAAATATGCAAATCTTATATTTAGATTATTCTAGAATGATTCTGAGTAATACAAATAGTTTTAAAGACTTTGTGTCGTTTAATCATTTACTTACCCTCCCGTTGTTCTGAACCTGTATAATTTCTTTCTTCTGATGAACACAAAATAAGATATTTTGAAGAATGTGGGTAACCAAACAGTTGCCGGTAGCCATTAACTTCCATAGTATTTTTTTTTCTTCTCCCCCATACTATGGAACTCAATGGCTACCAGCAACTGTACCCACAACAACAGAAGAAAGAAACTCGTACAGATTTGGAGCAACTTGAGGGCGAGTAAATGATAATAGAATGTTCTTTTTTTGGGTGAACTATCCCTTTAAGGGATAATTCACATAAAAATGAAAATGTTGTGATCATTTACTCATCCTCATGTCATTGTGGAGCACAAAAGATATTTTGAAGAATGGTTTAACTATTTTTGTCTATACATTGAAAGTCAATGGGGTCCAAAACAAACATTTGACCACAAAGGCTTTAATTGTATGGACAAAAACAAAAAAATTTATTTGTGTTACACAGAAGAAAGAAACTCAGACAGGTTTGGAACGATGTGATGCTGAGTAAATCATAACAGAATGTAAATTTTTTTTAGGGAAGTATCATTTAACGCAATAATAATAACTTTTTATGCATTGTAAACATTAAGTGCTTTGAGTAATTAAATTATTTGAAATATCAGAACAAACAATAACAACCGGAAAACATTATCCCAATGTTATCATTTATTGCCTTTTAAGTAATAGGACTATAAAGAGTTATAATGCAAGTGTTTCAACCTTATGCAGTACTGTAGGTGTGGCGCTCAAAAACAATTAACTAGCTAAACGTCACAACATGTGCCTGTCTTGAGCTTTAACGTTTGTGAGGAGAGCCCTGAACAGGAATCCTGTAATGACTTGTTTGGATAGCTCATCTCGTGTGTTGTCTGCCTGAGGCCCCTCTCTCCTCTCCAAGGACTGGTTGGACTGGGTTTTATCTTCATAGGTTATCTGGACATGCTGTGGTTTCTCTTAGTCAAATAAAATAGAGGCGATGTTTATCTGTTTATTAATCATACCTGGTCAGGCTAACAGGATCGTGGTTGGTGATGGTTTATAATAGTATATTGCTAAATGAGAGATCATCTTAAATCTTCACTATTATTCAAAAGTTTATTTTGTTTTATTTTTTGAAAGGATTTCAAACTTTTATTCAGCAAGGATGCATTACATTAAAAGAGCCAAAACTTAAGTCTGTGGTCCAAAACTTTCAACATTTATAACAATTTAAGGTCTATGCTCAAAAAGTGGAAGTGACAGTTAACAGGTAAAAAAAAAAAGTGTATTTATTTTAAGCAATTTTGTTTAGCTTGGGTACCAAAAATGTTGGCATCATTAAATTGACCCACCCTGTGCTCTAGGAGGGAAAAATACTTACAATGAACTTTTTAAGAACTAAATGTCATTATGAATTTGAAACTAGCACCTGTGCAGTGTAAATCTCACCTTAACATGCCATTTATTCCAAAACAGCAACACTGTCAAAAGACTAAATCATGCCATGTCAAGTCTTCCAGAAAAGAGTGGGTGTTGTTATCTTATCGTAATAGTGCTTTACAACCAGTATGAGCCTGTAATTAGGCTCAGGAATTGGTGACATGAAATATAAATCTATTCCTTGAAAAAGAAAATGGCCTGATAAGTACAGTAGTTTATCAGCTGATTCAGTTCACATACCAAAGGCCACATTCTGGAATGTATTAATATTCACTCCTCTGGGTCAAATGAGGTCTGCTCTTCTGTTTACTTCTATCCAGATACTAAATGAATAGCTCCAAATATATTTTTATATGAGAGAGTTCAACACTGAACAATATTTTTCTACTGATAATTTCAAATGTTGCCTAGAGGTAATTCAAATACTGGACGTTATAAATTGATATGGAAAAAGGAAGTAGAAACGGCTGTTTCTGCTGATGTATTTGTGCCTGGTTTTTGTGCAATCCCACATTAGAAAGCGACGCAGGATAGCTTTCAGGCAGCGTGCAAGAATGAACGCATGAGCATGCCAACAACGCACTTCTGCCCAGCAACATGACAGTAAACTGCCAAAAGAGGAGGCCAGCTTTATCCAGCATAAATAAAAACATTTTTAATTGGGGAACTCTTACCAGTGTGTGTCCTCAAGTGAGCTTTCAGGTGGGACGACTTGGTGTAAACTTTCTTACAACCTAAAATAAGAGAACAGCTTTTGTTACTCACAACAGTAAGCATTTATGTGTTCAAAAATGTTTGGAAGCTGTTGAAAATGTATAGAATAATTATAAATTATTAAATATTTAAACTATAAATTTAAAGTACCCAAAATGCAAATATTATATTTGATGCATAAACAGCATGACAAGGGAGTATTTTCATCTTTTTGGATATTGTTTAACAAGGCTATTGTTAAAAATATGATTAAAAATATAAACAGCATGACAAGAGTGTTTTAATTTTTTGAGAGGTAAAAAATGGTGGGAGGCTATTAATAAAATTTATAAATTATGAAAACAATTATAAAATATAAATTGTAAGTATTAAAAACAATGCAATTACTATGCTTGATGCATAACCAATATGACAAGAGTGTTTAATCTTTAGATAAAATGTTAAGGTTACTGTTATTAAAAATGCAACTATGCTTCATGCATAAACAGCACAAGTGTTTTTTTTTTTAGAAGATAAAAATGTTGGGAGCGATTTTATTGCAA